GGGGGGGGGGGGTGGGGTTGTTCGGGTCAGGCGGGATGTGGGAGGATTTATCAGAGAATTAGGAGGTAAGAACCATTAATTTTACAAATAGGGCATCGTAGAGGCCCCGTGTCATCATGAAGTTTCCAATGTCATAGAAACTCGTCTCATATATAAATTAATTATATGCATTGGACTTTGTAAAATAAAAGAAATCCAAGTATAAGCTTATAAAAATATGTGAGAATATCTATATTTTCACAAGTAAATTTTAGGATCAAGTACAACTCTTCTAAGAAAAACAATGAAGAATTTTTGTAAAGACCATTTAAAAAAAAAAATAGATAGTTCAATACTTCAATTCAAAATGAAAGGGCATAAAAGTGAGAGAATTGGGAGCAGAATACAAAAGATGGGTTGAGCAAGTTCCGTTTCTCTTTCCCCATCTTCTTCCTTCTCCTTCTCTCCTAAGCCAAAGATAGGACAAAGGTTTGCAAAAACTATTCTTTACATTCTCGCGCTCCTATCTTTTTCCTTTCCATTTCGCGATCTGAGGAACAGGGGAAATGAGACAAAGAGAGACACACACATATATAGAGATACACTTGATTTATATATACAAATATAGAAATTGAGGCGCGCTGTGTATAAGACGGGGGGTAAGGTAAAAGAGGCATGGGCTTTTTCCCTTGTTGTGGCGATTCATCCACCGCCAAGAGAGAAGACAGAAAGAGAAGCGCCGCCGCCAAAAGGACGGAGCACAAGAAGGACGATATTGCGCAGCCGGCCTCCGGTACGATTTGATCTTCCGTGAACGCCCTATTTCGTATGCAGCCTGCCTTCTGGGTTTTTTTTCTCGCATTTTAATTTTTGAATTGGGGGTTTCTTGAAATTTAACGGATTATTTGTTCCGGGGAGATATTGATTTTGTTCAATTTGTGTGCCGCCATCGTTTAGGAATTTTTTTGATGGTTTAGTTTGAAATTCCGTCTGATCATCACTTTCTTAGACGAAAACTGTGATTTGTATGCGGCCTGGAACTTAATTTTTTCCCTATGGCGCATTTTAATAATCCAATGCTGCCTTTTTTTGACATTCAAAACGAGAACTTATTTTGTGGGGCAACTTTGTTAAGCTATGATTCTTTATTATTTGCTTTGTTCAATTTGGGAGTTTTGAATGGTTTTATTTGTGTATGATGTTAATGTGTATACATTGACTATCATCGGACATCACCGTGATCTTGTTTAATGTTCATGGAAATAGCCCTCAGGTTTCACTTTGGTTGTTTTTCATAGTTTTATTTTAGTTCAAATTCAAACTATGATTACGAATACTTGTTGATTAAAAGGCTTGATAGTTGATAATCTGCATTTGTGTAGGTTCACTGCCCCATTGAGTTTTGGGTAAGTTTTAATCTTGACTTCCATTATCTGGGAAGAGCCTTTCCCAAGTACACAATGAATTACCCAAAGGATGTTCTCAACATCTTTTTTTTGAGATTTTAGTTCAAGCCTCTCTGCAGCTACATTTTTTGAGAATAATATGGGATATGATCTTTTTTTTATAGATTGTGCTATTGGCTTGCTCTTATGTAGTTATGTGTCTATTTTCTACCGAGTAATATGTTTCATTCAAATGCGCCGATCTTTTTCATGTCTTATGTGGAGACTTTGTTGTGCTTGTGGTCTAGATACACCAACAAGGGTTAGCCCTTGCCAAGGTGGGAAGAAGGAGGAATGCAATGATGCAGCAAATCAATCTACTTCAGGCAAGGACGAGGATTGCAGTCAAAGGAAGTCTGGAGGAGGAGGAGAAACAGAAACGGGCAAGGCGAGGACGTTTACCTTTGCTGATCTGGTGGCTGCCACAGAAAACTTCAAGCAAGAATTCTTTTTGGGTGAAGGAGGTTTTGGCAAAGTCTTTAAAGGTCGACTTGTAGATACTGGCCAGGTGGGTTTATGATTCAGTTTGGGTGTGCTTGGATAAAGGGTTTTGGAAGGGAAGGCTTTGCTTGACTTAGTTTATATCCTGATAATTGTAATTGATTAGAAAATGGAAAAATAAAAAGAAGTAAAAAAATTGCTCGATTTAGCTAGACATATAGTCTTTTTGGAGCCTAAGACTGATAAGTAGATATAAATTAGTAAAACTAAAATTGAATTAATCCTCCATTTTCCTCCCCCCTTTAACCCCATATTTCAGCTCAATTTGGGAGTTGGGTTTTGGAGGGCTTTAGTCGGGAGAGAGAGCTTTGAATTTAAGTGTATATCTTTATATTTATGATTTTATAAAAATTACTCCTTTTAGTAATCTTTCTATTTTATTTTAGAAACAATCTACGTAGCATATATTTATATATCAATATTTAGACGAAGCCATCCAAAACCTTCTCATGACCCTCTACCCAAACATATACTTCAAGATCGTTTTGCTAGAGGGTTTTGGAAGGTTTTGTGGGGGAAGGCATTAGCGGCCGGCTTAACTTACATCGTGATAAATATAATGTCTCTGAAGCAAAGGGTGATAGAAATGCTATATGGTTGCCTATTATATACTCCCTATGTCCGAATTTAGTTGCTCACTTATTTTGTTTCTGTGTGTGTGAAGTTTATTTGTCCACTTTTCATATTTAGTAAACAATTATGATGGATTTATCTAAAATACTCTATACATAGGCACATAGCATATAAGCATTGTTGACATTATGGGTGTTTTAGAAAAGCGAAATTGCTGCTTATGGCTTATTTTAAGCTCCTTTTACAATTTTGGGTTTTGATAAACCAACTTAAATGTTTTCTCATTGCTTATAAATTCCATAAAGAAAAGCAAGTATCACTTGTGTATTACTTCTGTTCATTGCTTATATTTAGCACTTAAATCCTATACGCTAAAGCTGCCCAAAGGCAAGCACCTACATGCTTATTGCGTCTATTTATTGCTTTGTTTACCGGTTTTGCAAAAGCACTTGAAAGCATTCCCATCAATGAATGACACACTCATTTAAAGACCTCATTGCATATTTTATACACTCACTTCTTCAAATTGAGATATTTAGGGAAATGGACATCTAAATCAGTACGAAAGAGTATGTTATTCCTTCAATTTCAATATAAACGTAGCCCTTCAAAACCTTCACATCAAAAATTCCAATCCTCCATCTAACTTGACCCTTAATGGAATTGTTAGTTGTAGCTCCATGCAGAATTTGTGACTTACATATATTTGCTTTGATTATGAATCTTCACTTTTTTTTCTTCATTAGCCTTGTTATGTTGTTACATTGACCACATATGTCATGGATTACTTCTAATTGCTTGATCAAAATGCAGATTGTGGCTATAAAGCAGCTTGATCGTGATGGATGTCAAGGGATTAGAGAGTTTGTTGTTGAAGTTTTGACCTTGAGTATGGCCGACCACCCTAATCTTGTTGAGCTAATCGGTTATTGTGCAGAGGGCGATCAAAGACTTTTGGTTTATGAGTACATGCCTCTCGGTTCATTGGAAGACCATTTATATGGTATTTCTCTAAAAAAAATATTTTGATGTCAAATTCTGCTACTTTTTATTTCTTTCCTGGTGATTGTGTATTTATTAGTCATTTGTATGAATTTTTTGGAGACCGCCGATCGAATAGGAAGCTTCTTGATTGGAATGTGAGGATGAAGATAGCAGCAGGTGCGGCAAGAGGGCTTGAGTATTTACATGACAAGATGAAGCCGCCGGTGATATACCGCGATTTGAAGTGCTCAAATATATTGCTTGCCGAGGATTATCATCCCAAACTGTCTGATTTTGGGTTGGCGAAGGTGGGCCCGCTCGGAGACAAGACCCACGTCTCAACCAGGGTGATGGGCACGTACGGTTACTGCGCTCCGGATTATGCTATGACTGGGCAGTTGACATTCAAATCAGATGTATACAGCTTTGGGGTTGTTCTTCTTGAGCTCATCACTGGTAGGAAAGCTATTGACAACACTAAACCTCCTCCAGAACAAAATCTTGTTGCTTGGGTATATTTTCTCTGCACTTAAACTCAAAATTTGTTGTTGGAATATGAAAACCTCTTTTTGGACCTACAATCATAAGTTTGAACTTTTGGTTGAGTTGGTCTGCTGACATGATATGAGAGCCTTGTTGACCAAAAGGTCACCACTTTTCCTGGGATTTTTCGGTTGAATTGGTTTCTTGACATTTTTTGTTGCAGGCACGGCCGCTGTTCAAAGACCGGAAGAAATTCCGGCAGATGGCGGACCCCGCACTGGGAACTCAATTTCCGGTGAGAGGGCTGTACCAGGCTCTGGCCATTGCCGCGATGTGCGTGCAGGAGCAACCAAACATGCGTCCCCTCGTCGCTGACATTGTCACCGCCCTTAACTACCTCTCCGCTCAAGAGTACGGCCCGCTTTCCCCGCCCTCCCGAAGAGGCCCGTCTTCTCACAAGCCCAAACAAGATGGGCCTGAGAAGAGTGCTAGTTCCAGTGATGTGGGTGAGGAGGAGAAGATGGAAGATTGATTCATTCATTAATGCATGCATTCTTTGATGAAGGGCAAAAAAAACAAAGAAATGGTATTTTATACACACACACACACACACACACACATGGAGTATAGAGATTGTTGATGTATGAATAGCGGCCTAGAATTTTTGTGTTGAGCTCCATTGCTGCAAGCATTCTGTGGTGTATTATACCAGTAGGAAAAAACAGAGAGAGAAGGGAGACAGATGGTTAATCGTATGTTGCCTCAATGAGAATGACAAATCACTTGCATATATTTGCCTCTTTTTTTAAAAAAAGTTCTCGCATGTTTTTTTTTCACAAAATTGTATTGAGATTTATGTATAGGAATGAAAAATACGGAGTAATAGAGAAAATCCAAGTTAATACTTGCAAAAATTTTGAGATTCTATAAGTTTTTTTTGAAGTGTTGGCAATTAAATTTAAAGAATTAAGTTAAGGCGTATGTTAGAGGCCCCTTCACGGGCAGGCATGAGTGCGTGACTTCTTTGAGGCTTGCATTTTTTAAAAAGTTGAATGGCGGTGAGTTTCAAACTCGTAATCTCTTGGTCATCAAATCAAGACTCTGATACCATGTTAAAGAATGAACTTAATCAAAAGTCTAACCATGTGATTATGGCCCAGGAATAATTTTTATATATATTCTAAAAAAACACAATCATATTAATTGATGATAACACAAAAGAAAATAATAAGATGATTTTTTTCTTGATTTGATTTTGTGTGAATGAGGGATGCATGCTAGTCCTCATATGATAAAATCTCATGGAAAAGAAAAAAAGGGAAGTGCTCCAGGAGTTCCTATATCGTACAACCGGATGTACCTAGATATAGGTACATCCGGGTACTACGAAGTGTAGTAGTACTCATTCTCGCACAAATATAATTATAATGTGGTACTCATTCTAAAAAAATGTAGTACTTATTCTAAAATAATTTAGTACTCATTTTCACAAATTTATTCAATACAATTATAAAATTTATCTACAAATAAAGTAATGTATATTGTGAAATAAAATAGTACTCATTCTTAAAAAACTTAATGTTCATTTTCAAATAAATAAAATCCATACCATAAATATATATTTTCTTTTTTCTCTCACACCTGCAGCCCTCTCCTTCGATCAGATCGATCGACTCCTCCAGGTGGGTTTGGGGGTTTTTCATACAGCGTCTCCCATCAAAGAAGGAATCAGCAGCCGGTTTCTTCCTCCAGATCTAACGCACATCAAAGAAGGAATCGGCCTATCAACATCTTCCTCCATCCACCGTGCACATCTCCCTTCCATACAACCGCTTTCTTCCTCCAGATCTGACGCAGCTCTCCTTAGGTGCAACTGCCTTCATCCGACCCGACCCGACTAGCTCCTCCGATCGACGCCATTTCTTCTTTGATTTGCCGGTTGTACCCAATTTTGGGTACAACCGGTTGTATGGTATAATTTGCGGTGCTCCAGGGCCGCCAGCAGGCTTCACCATTGAAAAACATCGTGAATGAAGATATCAATGCATTATACTATTTGTCGTTGATTATTGGAAAAAAATCACACTGAATATCTGATATGAACGTTTTAAACATTGACTAGCCAATTGTTAAGTATGAATTGACAACTTATAAAAAAATAAAGAAAATACCTGAAACACGTTATATTTAGAGGGTGTTTGGTAGTGCGCTGCTTTTAACAATTTAGCTTCTGCTTTAAGTGGAAGTGATTTTACTCTATTTGGCATGTCAGCTTCTGCTTTTCACCAACATTATTTTGCACATGGAACACCGTTTACGAAGTGTTTCAAACAATAGATAATTGAAAATTAAAAATCTTATAATCAAAATTATATTCGTTGGATTGATCTCAAGAATAAAAAAACCAACGGTATGCCTTTCGAAAGAAAAATTTATGTTATGAATTTAAAGTTATGATTATTTTAAAGAAATTTTTTTTACTAAATAGACTAAACATAAGTCATTTCCTAATGTACGACTTAAACTTTTTTATTTTCTAAGCAGGACTTAATAATGTCTAGTGGGAGAAATAATGTTCAGTGATGATATGAACATTTACTTGAACAATGACTAATGAATAATGACCAATGGTCGTACATTGAGAAATAAAAATATATAATCCTCTATTGAGAAAGACATTATATTTAAGTCCTATTTAGATAAATTCTTCTATTTCAAAAGTATAAAAAGTAAAAAAAGTAAAAGTGAACTGAATGAATATTTTTTCTCAAAAAAAATACTTCCTAAAATGATAAGGCTATACGTGGTATAAGATGGATGATGGGATAATGCGAAGGATGGGATGAAAAGAGGTATATATGGTGAAACTTTGATCTGCTTGATCTTATTTTTCATTCCTAACATTTTATTTTTTAATTAAATACTTGTCTAACTAGTTCCATTTTATACTTTTGCTTCTTTAATACGAGTGTTTTTGAAATGATCAAAATACATTTTAGTGGATGAGTGTTTTTTGTTTGAAACATTATTAAAAGATAAATACATTTTAGTTTTTCAGTTTACCACATTTTTGTTTTTCATTTTTAAAATGTGGGTGAAGGGAGGTTCTAGTTATAACACATTTAGGTATTTTTTATTTGTTTAATACTCCCTCTGGTCCAAAAAAACATGGGATTTATTGATTTTGGAAGTGTATTTTGGTATTAAATTTCCAAAAAAAACTTTTGATGTGATGGACAAAAGTAGGATTTGATGGGTAGATTATTAGTAAAAATGTATGATGTAATATGTAGGGTATGAAAAAGTAAGAGGTAAAAGTGACTTTTTAATAGAAATAAGAAATATTTTTTGGAACTGAATGAAAAAAGAAGAGTAAATTCCATAATTGGTCCTTTATAACATGAGGGTTTTCCTATTTAGTTCTCTATTATCAAATATTACCTCAGTAATCCTTCTTTTATGGGTATCTTTCCACAAATAGTCCTTTTTTTATCTTCAATCATGATGGTGTTAATTTGAAGGCTAAAAGTGTAATTTCACAATGATAATGCATCTTTTTTTTCATACACAATTCCAAAGGCTGTTCCGTTTGCGTCGTTTGTGAATTACAGTCGCTTTCTACTACAACCATAGTCTACAAATGTGGTTTTTCGTCGGAATTGTAGCCCACAATCATAGTCATTATTTTTGTGTTATCCGATTAACCAATATCAGAACACATCACTAGACATAATGTTGATGTCAAATTATACTTTTAGCCTTTAAATTAATACCAACATGGCAGAAAATCAAAAAAGACCATTTGTGGACAGACACCCTTAAAAAAAGGACTACGGGGGTAATATTTGATAATAGAGCACTAAATATGGAAACCCTCTGTTATAAAGGACCAATTATGAAATGTATTCAAAAAAGAAAGAAAAAAAGTTTTCAAGAACAAAGGAGGTTGTTAATTTATGCCGAGTACTTAGTAATTACTCAGTCAATATTTTAAATGCCATGTATTTAGTTTAGTTGGCAAATTAGTGTAACCATGTTAAAATGAGTAATTTTTAGGAGTAGTGATGACAATTGTTGAATTCCAGAGTATTAACGTAAAATTGTCAATTTTTTAGAGCATTCATGCGAATTTTCCTTGATCATTTGATACAATAAAATATTTTTGTCACATTTTATTTTTTAGAACTTTTGATATTATTAGGAAGTATAATTAAATTAGGATACTTCTTTCCTTTCTTACTAGGATTATTCTTTCCTTTCCTACTTGTACTTTGATTACTCTTGTATTCCCTATATATAGGGTCATATCTCTCAATATTCAATAAGACAAGTTATTATCAAATTGTATCATGGTATCGGAGCTAAGGCTCTCAAAAACCTAGCCTCTCTTTTTTCCGACCGCCGCCCACCATGGCAGCCCCGTCGGATCCTTTAGCGTCCTTACCCTCCGGAGTAAAACTTTTGCTTCGGAGTCTTCACAACTTAATCCTAGAAAAACTCACCGAAACAAATTATCCGGCATGGTCTCTCAATGTCCACACAGCTCTTTCAGCTAATCTCCTCCTTGGATGGATTGATGGTCATGAAGCAGCCCCGGCGCCAACTATCTCCAAAAACGATAAAACCGTCCCTAATCCAGAGTATACCTCCTGGACCATCGTTGACACACAGATCCGCGCCTGCCTCCTAGCGGTCATCAGCCCCTCCGTTCACAAACATGCTCGCGGCTTCACCACATCTGCTGCCCTCTGGGATGCTTTGGCCGCACGGTACAACTCTGTGTCCACCGCTCATGTTTATCAGCTTCGGGACAAACTCCACACTCTTCGTAAAGGTACCAAAACTATGACACAATACCTTGATGATGTGGCAACTATTCTCTCGGATCTCGATGCCTTGAAAGAAGAGATCCCTGAACGTGATGTGGTGAATGCTGTTATTCGTGGTCTTCCCACCGAATACTCATCCTTTAAGCAAAACATTCGCATGAACAATACCAATATTTCGTTAAATCA